TTTTATTATTCTAAAATGTAGTACTTAGAATGTACTAAGCAAAATCAGTGTGGAAAGTATGTATTATTCCAAGTGTTAAATTTAGGGGAAAGATAGAAAGCTGTCATGCTTCAACCAGTGATTACAGGAGAAATATTGTATTAGAAAGAAAAGATAAATAGATGATTGAAAGAGAACGGACAAAGGATACAAGTATAATTATTTAAATTGAGACGAAATAAATATAATAGAATTAAGAGAGTGAATAGAGGAGAGAAAATATATAGAAAATACAGAATGCCAAATAAGATATGAAATAGTATATTAAGTGAGCATGAATTTGATTTATGTCTGTACAAAAAGAGGTAACCCGGGGTAAGCCGCTTTCCAAAAAGAAGTTTTATGTATTTATGTTTTGTGTTTTGTTTGTCTATGTCTGAATTAATCAAATTTTAGAAGAATGTAAGAAGAACATTGGAAGAGAATAATGAAATTGTAAATAAGACAGATGGATATAAAGAATATATATAATCTAAGGCAAAATAAATATAATTGAATAGTAGAAGGAAAGGGAGAAATAAAGAGAAGTTGGGATAAGATATGAAGTTGAATAGATAAGATAAGTATATATATTAAATTGTGTTTGTATGGAAATGTGATAATTTGGAATTATTCTGTCTTTAAATAAGATGTTTTATTGGTTTCTTCAGAAAAGATGCATTGTGTTATTACATTCTACATTTAGTTTGTTTATGTATTGTTTCTTAAAAATTAATAAAATTTGCTTTTTTTAAAAAAAAAAATAACAGACTGTGACAACCAGGATCCGTAGAAGGCTTGATTGAAGATATTTGCAAATACCGGACCCCAACCCCTAATGTCAGATAAGGAGAAGGAGACATTCCCTTAAAATGATTACAGCCTTATATAGGATATCACATTTAAAAGATTACATAATACTTCCTGTTTTTCACATATAGGAGTTATAGGGACTTTCACTAGAAAGAAATGGGTAGTCCTGGGTGTTTTTCCATAACTCCTCCCAGACTTCTCTATAGAAATCCCCTAGCTATCATCATCAACTTATTTCCCGTTTTTCACTTAAAAGATTACACAATAGATCATTAACAAACTTCCTTTAATGTCAGGGTGACCTAGCATGAAATCTCAAGCCAAGGACATAATATTTTGTAACTTTGCAGAACTTAACAAAATAACAAGTTATATAAATGTTCTGATATCTTTCTAGAAGGTCAGATTAAGAATAAAAATGGAGTCTCTTTGGTTTTGTACATTCTTAGGTGTAATAGGCAAATTTTCACATATAACAATCCACCATTTTTTCTTTTGATCTTCTTTGATCAATTTTACACCTGAGAATTACCATTAATCTCCCTCAACATAAGCCTAACCTCTTGCTGACTTAAACATTTACTTGCTACTTCATGTTTCTTAGGTTTACAACAGCAGAAAACAACTTACATACAGGCATACATTGGATACAAATACATGAAATAAGTTCTATGACAATGATTATCACAACACCAAGAAATACCTCCTTTAACCAAGTAAGATCTGGCAACCAGGAAGTCAATCCATTCCATATTTTCTTCAATGCATTACTATCTGTAATATGAGTTAAATGTGTAGTTATATTGTGTAAAACCTTCAGCTTAGACTCAATAAAATGTGCTTTGTCATTTACATCAAAGCAACACATCCCATCAAATTCCTCACATCCATGACCCATCCTCAATAGAATGTAATCAATTGCTACTCTATTCTGTAGCACAAACTTCCTTATTTCTCCCATCTCATCAACCAAAGCAGCAATCGCAGAGGAAGTTACATTAATGCTTTTTGCTAAAGCACAAGCTAAATGCCCCAACTGCAGATTATTATAGTATGTAGCTCCCCAAGGAAATATTCCTAGGAATCCTGCTTCTACTTTAGATAACACTACTACTTCATCATTACAATCTTCAGAATAAACATCAAGCGCTGATCTTTTCCCTCTATATTTCTTTACATGTTCATCAACATGTTCATGTTCAGCAGAACCCCACCTGACCACCGGCCAGTGAGCTGTAGGATAAGTATAGATAATAATGTGGGGCTCTTTATGCTTAGATGCATCCTCATGCACTTGGCTATGTTCATGTCCATCTCTCTCCACTGTATCATCCGGTACAGGTTGTCTAACTATCCCCTCAATCCTTTCTGGATTGATCCTCTTGCTTCCATGACTAATCAAATGTCCTAGGTACTTGACCTCAGGCTCCACATATTGTAATTTCTTTCTTGAAACTCTCAGGCCCTGTTGTCCTAAGAAATTCAACAATGCATTTGTGCCTTTCTCAACATCTCTTTTCTTCTCACCTGAAACCAACAAATCATCCACATATTGCAACACTGTTATACCCACAGGCGGTTCAAACCCCTCAAGGACCTGCTCTAACGCTTGTCCAAACAAATTAGGGCTTTCTGAGAACCCTTGTGGTAAAACACACCGTCAATACTGTTGAGTTCAACGTATATCCAGATCTGTCCACTCAAAATCAAAGATGTCTCTTGATCCCTTTGCTAATGGGCAAGTCCAAAAAGCATCCTTCAAATCTATCACACTAAAATACCTGTGTTCATGTGGAATTCTCCCTAACAATGTGTAGGGGTCTGGTGTAATAATATGCCTTTCCACCACTAGGTGATTCACAGCTCTCAAATCTGCAACTAGACATCAAGAACCATCAGGTTTCTTTACAGGTAAGATAGGTGTATTGTATGGTGACATTGCAGGCTCTATAAGCCCATCCCGTAATAAAGATTCTATTACTGGCTTCAAGCCATGTCTCCCTTCCAGGGAAATATTGTACTACTTCTGCCTCACTGGCTCAACACCTTCTTTCAAAATCACCTCCACAGGTGTAATATTCAAAACACCTCTATTTCCTTTTGCTTCCCTCACTATGGGATCTATAAATCTTTCCTGTTCATCTGTTAACATATGAACAGTGCACCTGTCTTCTGTGAAGATAAGCTCACAACCTAATAAGGACAAAGCATCTCTTCCCAAAAGAGTCAAAAAAGAGTTAAAAAATAAAAAAAAATAAAAAAGGCAAAGTAAAAGCAAATTTTCACATATAACAAACTTCATGTTCTATAACTGAGAAAATTGAACCTGAAAATTTTTCAGATATTTCATCATAGTTATGACATGAAAGAAACTTCTAAATAATCTATAAAATATTTACAGGAAATAAAAAAAGTTTTTGGGGTGGCTGTCACAGTTCTCAAACAAGAATATTTTTGAAAATCTGAGGGAAAAGATCCCAAACATGTCACACTCTATCAGCCCTAGGAAGGAGGTAAAACACTTCCAAGAAAAGGAGAATGAGGATGAGGGAAGTAGAGAAGAAGAAGAAGGAGACGACTCTTCCCTGGCTTCATGGAATGATTGTTATTTTTGTCAGAGAATTACAAAGTACAGTCTGAAGGGTTTCCAGAATTTGTACCAGTTTTCTTATTCTGAATCTGTAAACAGTTGAATGTAAAATGTAATTATGCATTCAAATTTGCAGGAAGATGGCCTGTTTAGGTTTGTACCATGTAGAGGTTGTGTCACCTTCTGTTTGCTTTAATGAAGGGAAGTAAGTACCACAAGGTTCCACCCTAGGCCCAGTACTCTTCAATATCTTCATAAACAACTTAGATGAGGGAATAGAAGGGGAACTTACCAAATTTGCAGATGATATTAAGCTGGCAGGAATAGCTAACACCCAAGAAGATAGGCTCAAGATCCAAATGGATCTTGACAGACTAGAACACTGGGCCGTATCTAACAAAATGAAATTCAATGTAGAGAAAAGTAAAGTCCTACACTTAGGCAAGAAAAACCAAAAGTACACATATAGGCTGGGTGAAACCAGGCTTAATAGCAGTAACTGTGAGAGGGATGTTGGAGTCTTAGTGGACAACCAGCTAAATATGAGCCAGCAGTGTGTGGAGGCAGCCAAAAAAGCTAATGCAATCCTAAGTTGCATTAACAGAGGGATGCAATCAAGATCAAGGGAGGTATTAATACCACTCTATAAAGCCTTAGTAAGACCACACCTAGAGTACTGCATCCAGTTTTGGTCACCACATTATAAAAAAGATATTGAGACTCTAGAAAGAGTGCAGAGAAGAGCAACCAAGATGATTAGGGGACTGGAGGCTAAAACATACGATGAACTGGGCATCACTAGTCTAGTGAAGAGATGGTCCAGGGAAGACATGATAGCAGTGTTCCAATATTTGAGGGGCTGCTACAGAGAGGAGGGGGTCAAACCAAAGCACCTGAAGGCCAGACAAGGAATAATGGATGGAAACTGAACAAGGAGAGATTTAACCTGGAAATAAGGAGAAATTTTCTGACAGTGAGAAAATCAACCAATGGGACAGCTTGCCTTCAGAAGTTGTGGGAGCTTCATCACTGGAAGCTTTCAAGACGAGACTGGACTGCCACCTGTCAAAAATGGTGTAGGGTCTGCTTGGTTGGGTGGTTGGACTAGATGACATACAACAAGGGACCTTGTAGGTCAAGGGTCATGTTAGCTCAGGAATTCTGGAAGTTGAAGTCCACAAGTCTTAAACTTCCCAAGTTTGAAGACCCTTGACCTACAAGGTCCCTTCCAACTCTGTTAATCTGTATCTGCTTGGGGATTCACTAAACTAAAGCAGATAATTTCACTAGAGATGCTTACATTCATGCATGCAACTATAGGGTTTTTGTTTTTTTAAGAAAAAACACCACAAATTGTCTTCCAAAATTCAAAACAGATTTACTGTAATTCTATTAATTGAAACTTCAATTCTGGCAATGTTAAATGCAGCCCCGGGCCACTGTCTGCCTCAAACTAAATGAAAGTCTTGCTTCTTATTCTCTGTGACCACAGTCAGTCACCTCCACCCAGCTCATTCATTCCTTAAATAAAATTGCTAATAAAATAGCTTAGTGTGGTCTGGACTCCATCTGTACTTGCCTTTTTCCTTCTGGGTCAGCAGAGGTGAGCTGGTGTTGGCTACAGTAGAAGCTCTCACATTTGTTGGAAGCCAATGTCCGCTGAGAAGGTGAGAACACAGTGACTGTCCCTTGTTCCACTGTCTTTCACAGGATAGGTGGCTTTGCTGGTGCAAGGCCATCTGCTGGAATGTACCAAAGGTCTGGTTACAGTCTGCACAGTGATGGTTCCCCCCTGAGTCTTCTCTCACAAGCTTGGACCCTAATATATAAGAATGTTCCTGCCACTGCTGACTACTCTCCACAGTGCGAGCTGTGGCCTGCAGTCGTTCAGCACAGCTTGCATCACTGTAACCCAGGAAACTGCCCATACTGGCTTTGTCTGTTAGCCGAGGACAGAGGAGAGATGGATACAGGGCCTCACAACCGACAAGTAAATTCTGTGCTGACTGTCCTGGTCCTCTTTGTTCACTCTGGAGGCCCAGCTTGTTGAGATGAACCTTCATGTGGTTTTTCAGGAACCATGATTCCTTGAAGCCGCGCCCACACACCTGGCACTTATGGTCAAAGGAGTCTTTGTGCTTCCGCATGTGACCCTTAAGGAACCAGGACTGGGTGAAGGCTTGACCACAGACCTGGCAGCAGAACTCCATAGGGGTGGAGGAAGAAGAGTAACAGGTGGGCGTTGAAGCAGGAAGGGTGGGTAGAGCTGTAGTGGTGGGTACAGGGGCAGGAGGGGTGGGTGTCCAAGCTGCTGGGGAGTTATGAGCCTGTTGGTTGTGCCACTGAAGATCTGACTCCTGCGCGGCAGTGAAAGAACATTGCTCACATTTGTACAGCTGATGGAGGATGCGAAGGTGGCGCTCACATTCCCTTGCAGTGTGAAACCTGCCCTTGCAGAAAGAGCAGCGAAAGGTGAGTAGAGGTTGGGGTGGAATAGGAGCAGTCGTCTCTTCTTCTTCCTCCTCCTCCTTTTCCTCTTCTTGACCCCGCAGAAGTGCCCACTCGTCCAATTCAAGCAGCAGGCGGCTCTGGTGACTGAGCCAGGTGTGGGCCTCAGGACAATGAGAGCGCAAGTGGAGACGTAAGCTGGCACGCTGCCCTGCCTGGTGGCCACAGTAGGGACAAGTGAGTGGATAGGAGCTGTTGTGGATGCGGGTGTGCAATGCCAAGATGCTGTTAAAGCAAAAATGCTTGCCACAGATAGGACAGGGATAAGGGCGAGCCTCCCCTCCTGCCCCCCCTGGCCCATTAGAGTAATGTTGTAAGTCCAGCTCCCCATTGAAAGCCATAATGTCAGCTTCATCACTGGAAGAGGAGGAAGGAGAAGGAAGGGCAACACTGGCTGAATTGGCAGAAGGCAATTGGTAATCTGCACCCTGTAGGAAGGAAGCGGGAAAGAAGAAACTTAAAACCTTTATATTGAATCATTTTGTTCTATCGCCAGGACAAAGCAGACTCGAATACCGGAGTTGAAATCAGCTCTTTATTAGCAACCAGTAACTTCAACTGAAGTCGAGTCGCGGCAGCCCTTTTTATAGCGTCTGCTCGCAGCTCGCAACCAATGGCATGTGTTTAAACTTCCCGCCGCTTATGTGGCCAATCGGAACCCGTTGTTCTTAACCAATAGTTACTCTGTGTTAACTAACCAATAGGAATGTAGTATTAGAAGTCTATATTTGAATACACTACACCCCTCCCCTCTTGGTTCGCTCCAACGTTATGTGACGTAATCATGCAGGTAGGCGGGGCTTTTGAGTCCTAGTTGACCTGCACAGTTCAGTCTCTGTGTTGGTCTCCACCGGTTCGGACAGGCCTGCTGTCCTTCCCGCTCTTCTCCTAGGAACCTCCTGGAAGGGTGCCTCAGCCGTGCCGCTCCCGCCGTGCCTTGTTGGGTTGATTGGACGGTCGGCGTGGTCTCCTTGCATTGTGTGCGGGCAGGTAGAGTTGGCTTGGCTGCTTCTTTCCTGGGGTTCCTTCAGTTCTCTTTTCTTGGAGTCTTCTAATCGTAAGTAATTTTTATTTTTTTCTGGGTTCTCGGTTTCTGGTTGGTGGTTTGTAACCGGACTATTTTCATTTCCCTTATTATTTAAGGGTCCCACCCCACCTCTGGTTTTTTTATTACTATCTGGGGGTACTTGGGGAAGTGTTTGTTCCATGTTTCGGGGAACGTCGGTGTTTCGTTCGACGTGTCGTGACCGTAGTTGATCGATGTGTCTTTTCCACGATCTGCTGTCAGCTGTTTCTAGTCGGTATGAACGAGGGCCTGTGATTTGTGTGATTGTTGCCGGTAACCACAATGGTTCTCCGGTAAGATTTTTTGCATATACTAAGTCGTCTGGTAAGAAAGAGCGGTACTTACTGGAAGAGTCTGGTGGCTTTTCGGGGTTGTAAGTGGGGTGCAGTCTGTCCAAGTAGGAACGCAACTTTCTTCCCATCAATAGGTCAGCCGGGCTCTTGTTTGTTGCCGTGCATGGTGTTATATGTTGGATGGTGAGCATGGTATTGACTTTTTCTTGCATGTCATTTCCTTCAAGCTTTTCTAATGCTTCTTTCGTGTAACAAACCATGCGTTCCGCCCTTCCATTCACCACCGAATGAGCTGGCGCTGTCAAAGCGTGTCTTATTCCTTGTTCTGCTAGGAATTCTTCAAAAGCCAAAGCTGTAAACTGTGGCCCATTGTCCGATACTACTACATCTGGTAGACCGTGGGTGGCGAAGAGTTTTTTTTCGTTGTTTGGTGATGGCTTCTGTTGTTGTTGAATTCATGATGATGACTTCTAACCAGTTGGAATAGGCATCCACAATGATTAGATAAGTATATCCTTTTCTGGGGCCGGCGAAGTCCATATGGATTCTTGACCAGGGATCTCTGGGTGTCTCCCAGTCAAGAACTGGTGCTGAGGGGGGAGTGGGTCTGGATGATTGGCATTTGTTACATGTTTTGACCCAGGTTTCAATGTCTTTATCTATTCCTGGCCACCAAACGTAGCTTCTGGCCAGGGACTTCATCTTTACCATGCCTGGGTGTCCTTCATGTAACATATTTAGCACGTCTTCTTGTAATTTTTTTGGAACAACCACCCGATCTCCCCACAAAATGCACCCTTTTTCAATTGATAATTCAGTTTGCCGGTTTTTAAAGGGTTTAAAAGTCTCGGTTTTTACGTTTTCCGGCCAACCCCGTCCCACCCAGTTCAGTATTCGGGCCATCAGTGCATCTTTAGCCGTTTCCCTTGCGATGTCCGATGCGGTGATGGGCCAATTTGGAATCATTTTAATTTGTAGGGTATGCGTGGTGGGAGCTGGATCGTCATCGTGACCTGGTAGTGGTGAACGGCTTAATGAGTCTTCGTGGGGTATGGCTTTCCCTGGACGATAAATGAGTTTGTAATTGTAGGCTGCAAGAAATTCTGACCATCTTGTCATTCATGGAGACAGGATGTTGGGGGTGGCCCTGTCTCCGGCTAGGATTCCCAATAGCGGTTTGTGGTTGGTGATTAAAGAAAATGTCCTACCGTATAGGTATTTGTGGAAACGTTTCACCCCTGAGATGGCTACCAAGGCTTCCCTGTCCAGTTGGCTGTAGTTCCTTTCGGTCTTGGACAGTGTCTTGGAATAAAAGGCGATCGGTGCTTCTCTGCCGTCTGGTAGTGTGTGGCTAAGTATTGCGCCTATGCCGAAGGGTGAAGCGTCGCAGGTGACAGTCAGAGGTAGTGTGTCACTGTATTGGATCAATACAGATTTTGATGTGATTAAGTCTTTGATTTTTTGGAATGCTGTTTCTTCTTGGTGGCCCCATTTCCAATTGGTTTTTTTATCGAGGAGTCTATGCAGTGGTTCCGCTACTGTTGCCTTCTGCGGCAGAAAGACATGATAAAAATTAATGAGTCCCAAAAATGCTTGTAAATCCGTTTTGTTTTTGGGTCTGGGAGCTTCCTTTATTGCTCGTATTTTTTTGTGTGTGGGGTGGATTCCCACTTCATCAATAAGGTATCCCAGGAACTCGACCTGATTTGTGGCAAGTTGGCATTTTTCTTTTTTAATTTTGAGTCCTGCTTCTCTAAATTTTGACAAAACTGCCCTTAATCAGTCTTTTAGTTGTTTTTTGTTTTCGGCTGATATTAGTACATCATCGAAGTAGGGAACCACCCCTTTTAATCCTTGGAGGAGACGTTCCATCAGGCTCTGGAAAACGCCAGGGGCCACGCTGACACCGAATTGTAATCTATTGTATTTAAAGGCTCCTCTATGTGTTACGATAGTTTGTGCCTCCACTGTCTCAGGATCAACTGGTAATTGTTGATATGCCTGTGCGAGATCGAGCTTTGCAAAGATCCTTCCTCTCCCCAATGAATGCAGCAGGTGTTGGACTACCGGAACGGGATATGCGCTCTGTTGCAATGCATGGTTCAGGGTGGCCTTATAGTCACCACAGATGCGCATGGACCCATCAGGTTTTATAGGGGTCACAATCAGGGTTTCCCATCTGGCATGGTCGGTTGGCTCTAGCACCCCCTGAGCGATGAGCTTGTTTAGTTGCTTGTCAATTTTTGGTCTTAGTGCAAACGGTACCCGTCTGGCTTTAAGCCTGATGGGGGCTACGTTCGGGTTTAAACTAAACGATATAGGGGTCCCACGGTACTTGCCTAAAGTCCCATCGAATACGTCATGGAATTCCTCCATCAGGTCTTTCTCCCAGTCCGTCATGGTGACGCTGTTGATCCCTGTCACTTCGATTCCGAGCGGTTCGAACCATTCTAAACCGAGCAGGCTGGGGCGATCTCTGTCAACGATGGTTAATGGCAGAATCTCGGTGTGTTTTTTAAAGTTTACTTTGAAATGTCCCCGTCCAACTACTGGTATCTTGTTACCCTGGTAGTCCTTGATGATCAGGCTTTGCTCTTCGAGTTCTCTACGTTTTATGTCTGGTATCAAACTTTTTATTGTGTTCCATGATACCATTGATAAATATGAACTGGAGTCTACTTCCATTTCACATGGTTCGCCTTCTATCAGGACGTTGATTCGAACCTTCTTAGTGTTTGTTGTTCTGGCCGTCCCAATAGTGATTGTCTGATGTGTCTCTTCCTTCTCGTTGAGCCGTTGATTTCTATGATCTCGGCTCCAGCGACTTCCGGTTGGTCTTTCTTTGTTTCTGGGGGGGGGGGCACTGCCGCGTCTCTTTGGGCTATAGCTCTTTTTCTTTCGGCAGACCCTTGCAATGTGTCCCCGTTTTTCACAATGCTGGCATGTGGCATCCAAGAATCGACGTTCAGACCTCGTGTGGTTTCTACTACATCCCGCACACTGAAATTCAGGTTTTCTTCCTCGTCTCTCTCTCCGGCTCCTTTCTGAATGGAGTCTGTTTACCTCCTCGTCTTCATCTTCAGAGTCTGTTGATGATTCGATATCTTCATGGTGAGAGGTTGTGGCAGCGTGCTTTTGGGCTCCCTCTGTTTTCTTTTCTTTATTCAGACTCGGACTGTTTGTTGTATTCATCTGCTTAATTTTTGCTGCAGACTTCTTTGCTGCTTCAGCGGCAGTTGCTTCAGCAATGGCTTCGTTTGCGGTGAGGTTGGGTCGGTTTAACAGTTTGCTCTGTAGGGTTGCGTCTCTTAGTCCAAGGACTATACGATCCTTCATGGCTTCATCCATGTTGAGGAACTTGCATGCCCCCCCAATGTCTCTTAACGCTGCTACGAAGTCTCCAATACTCTCGCCTTCTAGTTGGTTGCGCTTGTAGAATTCGTGTCTTCTAATGAGATTGGACACGACTGGTGCGTAATTGTTTCTCAGCATCCAATTTAGGTCTGGCCAGGCCATTTGTTTAACATCATTGGGTCTTGCTAATGCTTTGGCCATTTTGAAAATAGTCGGGCCACAATGCGTCAAGAATACGGCTCTCTTTCTCTGGTCAGTGATTCCTTGCAGTTCGTTGCTTTCTAAAAACATCAGGAACCTGTCAATGTATGACTCCCAGTCTTCTTCGGCTGGGTTGAACGGTGCGGGTGGCGAATTGTTGCCGGCCATCTCGTTGGTCTTTCGGCTATCGTTGCCACGTGCTTACGGTCTTTGTCCCTTCGATCCCATCCTCGTCGCCAGTGTTCTATCGCCAGGACAAAGCAGACTCAAATACCGGAGTTGAAATCAGCTCTTTATTAGCAACCAGTAACTTCAACTGAAGTTGAGCCACTGCAGCCCTTTTTATAGCGGCTGCTCGCGGCTCGCAACCAATGGCATGTGTTTAAACTTCCCGCCGCTTATGCGGCTAATCGGAACCCGTTGTTCTTAACCAATCATTACTCTGTGTTAACTAACCAATAGGAATGTAGTATTAGAAGTCTATATTTGAATACACTACACATTTCTTTGACTATTTTCCTATGACTGGAAAACAGAAGCTTTGCTTTATTGTTAGGGGAAATAGGAAATGGGAGAGTCCCAAGAGCAGGTGTCCCAACTTCACTAAGAACATTTTGGAAAATCAATCAGCACTTATAAATCTGTGTGTCAACAAAAAACATGATTGAATTTGGGGAATTATATCCTGTGATAACACAGTAAAACATGGTTGTGAACCAAATAATGGGTAAGACCTTCAGACCAGTAAGTGGAACAAAAAGAGACAGACAGACATACAAAACTAAAGTGCATTGGTCCTTGGCATTTGTCGGCACGCTGCTGCAGCCTCCGGCACCCATCCACCCATCACCAGTGCAGGGGCGCCTTTCCTCCCCCAGTATGGAAAACCCCAGGGTTTCAGGGTTTGACAGGCGGCTCCCCTCTACCAGGGCCACACCTGGAAAACAGTAAGCAGAAACAGTGAATACACATGGCAACAGACCATTACACTCACCCTCTCAACCCCCCCGCCTGGTTTGTGGGGATTTTCCTTATGGAACATTATCAGTCGGTCTACCTGTACATCTCTTCTTGCCACCCAAGAGGCCTCTGTGGTGGGATATCCCTTCCATCAAACCAGTCATTGCAGCCAGCCCCTATGTAATTGGGAATCCAAAATCCGGTCGATCTCGTAATGGGTCTCCCCTGACCTCCATAGGGGCAGGTAATGGTAACGGTGGTGGTCGAGTGGAGGCCTCCCCTACAGGTTTCAGTAGACTACTGTGGAACACTGGGTATACTTTCCCCAACAATCGGGGTAGCTTCAGCTCCACCCTTACAGGGTTAATTACCCACACAATGGGGAATGGGACCAGGAACTTGGGGCCCAATTTCCGACAGGGGACCTTTAATTTTAAGTACTTGGTCGACAGGTACACTTTGTCCCCCACCTGGAACGGCTTCTGCAGAGCCCGTTTTCTGTTGGCCTGTACTTTCTGGGTTTCTGCGGCTTTCCTCAAGGCCATTTTCATGGATTCCCACACCCCCTGCAAGGTGTTTATCCATTCCTTTGGGCTGACAGGGGTAGGGGCTTCTTGAGGGTATTCAGGTATGGGAACGAAGTCTATTCCATGCACCACCCGGAAAGGTATAAACCCCATACTGCTATGGACAACATTGTTGTATGCCACCTCCACAAACGGTAGAAGTTCTGCCCAATTGGTTTGCTCATACGTGACATAGGACCTAAGATATCTTTCCACTATGGCGTTGGTTCTCTCTGCTGCCCCGTTAGTACTTGGGTGAAATGCTGAGCTTAAACCCTGGAAGGACCCTATCATCTGGACAAACTCTCGCCAAAACTTGGCTGTGAACTGTACCCCCCCATCCAAAACGGTCCTCCGTGGCACACCGTGGAGGTGATAGTTATTTAGTAGGAATAGTTTAGCCAATTTCTGTGCCGATGGCAAACTGGTGTAGGGTACAAAATGGACCTGTTTTGAAAATAGATCAATGACCATATGATGGTCTGGCCATTGCTCTCCGGCAGCTCCACAATGAAGTCCATAGCTAGCTCCTCCCATGGCCAGGTCGGGTTGGTCGGGTTGTTGTCGTGCAGACCAGACAGCTTTTGACATAGTCCTCTATTTTGTGTTGCATCCTGGGCCACCAGAATTGCCTCTTGACTAAATGCAGGGTTTTAAGGAACCCAAAGTGTCCTGTTTCATGTCATGGCACCTCCATAGCACCTATGGCCTCAGGGTGTGTGGCACATGCAATTTACTGCCTTTCCACAGCAACCCATCTCGTTGGGTGAGCAAGTTCCAATGCTCCAGGAACCAAGGGTCAGTTAGTAGTTTGGTCTGTAAGTGATGAGTCAACTTGTCTACGCTTACAACCAGCTGCCAGGCTGAAATCTGTGCAGCTTGTTGCAGTGAAGGGGGAATGATGGCATGTACCACCTCCTCATGGCAACTTTTGTATTGAGGCATTCTTGACAAAGTCTCATGCCCCTGTTGGAGTCTGAATCTGAGGAGGAAGCCAAACAGCTGACAGGGAGTGGGAGTGTGGCTCCGTTGACTGTGGAGGAAACTGGTGAAGGGCAAAGTCCAGCTGGGCAGAGCAGGGACAGGTAGAAAAAGGGAGAGGGAGTTCAGAGGAAGACCCAGGCCCACCTCCTCTTCATCCTAGGGCACACAGGGAGGAACAGAGAAGAGAGCAATGTGGGTTGCGTGGCTTACAGGGAAGGAAAGGGCCCTGATTCCCTTCATTAGCCACACCTGGGAATGAGAGTTTAAAAGAGATGCATGCTGAGTGCGGCAGCTGCTGGAAGCAAATGTGAGTTTATCTTGTGTTGACTTTGGTTATCTGTATTCCTGGCGCCTTCCCAACCGTGTTGAGTTATTGCCATACCTTCACGTCTGGAATTCTTGCTCCTGCCTTGCCAGACTAATTATCTCATTTTGCCTTGATTGGACTTATAGTTACAGTTTTGGTTGACCATGTTTTGGACTTGATTCTCTGAAGCCAAAGGCTGTTCCTGGGAGAGTTTTTCTCCAGCCAGAAGGAAACCAGGACATTGGGGGCAAAGTTGGAGCTAATAAAGAGACTCCTACTGATTATCTGACTGTGTTGCCTTTGTGCCACGCCCCAAGTCATCACACAAAGCATCTGTCAAGGAAGTTTCTTCCCCCAGGGATGTCCTTCAAGGTAAACCGGAAGCGTTGGAAGTACTGAGCCTACTGCACCTGTTTGGGCGACAAACATCATGAGGCCTGGAGTGCCTTGAGGTTTTTATGGTCCGTCCACACCTCGAACAGTACCTTACTGCCCTCCAGGAGGTGATGGCATGTCATGAGGGCCCACCAGACTGTAAACTCCTCTGTTAGCCTTCGTTTGTACACGTAGGAATTCTAGCAATAAACTCTGTTACTCACAGGATTCGTTGTGAATAGGTAGGTTTATTTTCGCTTGTTTTCCTTCAAACACGGCAACAACGGATATCCCAGATAAAGTCAGCACTGAGATCATTTGTCTCTCAGTGCAATTTATCAAGCCGCCCCACCCTATGCAGCTAACTAACATCCACCCTCCCCGTTTGTCCTACACGCCTCCACCCCGCAATTCTAAACGCCACTAATTATGAAACAGAATGTGGTTTCAATTCCCAGGTTGTGCTTTAATTTCCCCAATGATTGTTTGTGTTTTGTTTCGGGTAATGAGAGAAGTTGGAGTGACAAACTCTCTTTCACCCCATCCCCGCTGCACGTTCATGCTGACACGAGACAAGTCGAGCTGGGGTGGGATCCTCTAATGCAAGTGACGCTGATCAAGTCGATATATTGCAAACGGCAGGATCGAACTTG